GACCTCACAGGTACCAGGGACCCTCCTGGCCCATATGTGGTGGGTGTGGAAGCAGAGTCTGTCTGCTCCAGGGATACTGGCAGATGGACAGAGCGGACCTTCCATTTTCATTTCCCAGGGAGGCACCCTAAGGACCAGAGGCCTGAGTGCTTGTCCCAAATCACAGAGCACAGGGGCAGGAACTCTGCAGGCCTGAGTCCCAGCCCAGCCCAGCTCGGGGCAGCAGGTGCAGGAGTGAATCCCAGCGAGGAGCTGAGCCTCTCTCTAGGCCTCGGCATCCTTGCCTTTCTGCCTCCCAGGGTATTATGGAGACTCAAATGGCCAGTGATGTAGATGGCTGGAGTGGGAGAGGTGCAATAGGGAGAAGGGGTCAAAACTGTGACCTTGGTGGCCCTGTCTGTCCCCCAGAGGAGGAGTTTGGTCAGCTCTATGGGCATCGAAGGGCAACTGGAGGGATCCCCGTGGGCAGAAAGGTAGGGTCTGAAAATCAGGGGGCGTCAACGCCCGCCACCTGTGACTGGCGGAAGGCGGCCGGCATCATCTCTTCCATCAAGGACCAGGTATCTGCCCCTGCTCAGCATGGCCCGGTCGGCCCCTGGTGGGAGAGGAGGGACAAGGCCTGAACACCTCACCCTGCCCCCACCCCCTCTCCCACCAGAAAAACTGCAAGTGCTGCTGGGCCATGGCGGCTGCGGGTAACATCGAGTCCCTGTGGGGCATCAAACACCACCAGTCCGTGGAAGTCTCTGTGCAGGGTATGGCTGCGGGAGAGGGAGTGTACGAGACAGGAGAGGGAGGGCAAGGGCCTGTCCACCCACACTGATCCTTCTTGCACCAGAGCTGCTCGACTGTGACCGCTGTGGGGATGGCTGCTCGGGGGGCTTTGTCTGGGACGCGTTCATAACTGTCCTCAACAACAGTGAGTACCCGCCTCTGGAAAACTGCAGGGGTGGGGCACGTTCAGGAGCAGAGTCTCCCTCCTTGTCTTGCTTATCTCCAGGTGGTCTGGCCAGTGAAAAGGACTACCCATTCAGGGGGGACACCAAAACCCACAGGTGCCAAGCCAGGAAGTACAAGAAGGTGGCCTGGATCCAGGATTTCCTCATGCTGCCGGACAACGAGCAGAGTGCGGGCAGGGTGGAGACACGGGTGGAGGGGGACGACAGGAACAGACTGACCGAGACAGAGGCAGACACACTGGGCTACAGACAGAGATGGGGGGAGGGGCAGAGAGGTGGGGGAGGGAGAGGAATGCCCACGTGCTGAGAGCAGAGGCTGCGGGGCAGGCAGGGCCTGATGGCACCTTCCATCCCCAGTCATGGCCCATCACCTGGCCACCCATGGCCCCATCACCGTGACCATCAACATGAAGCTACTGCAGGTGGGATGGGGTAGGGAAGGGGGCGGGGCATGGAGAGGAGGTGGCCGCAGACTCAGCCCCTCTGCCCCCACCCCTGCAGCAATACCAGAAGGGTGTGATCAGGGCCAAGCCCAGCACCTGTGACCCCCGGCAAGTGAATCACTCCGTCCTGCTGGTGGGCTTTGGTAGGACCAAGTCGGTGGAGTGGGCAGAGACAGGCTCGTCCCAGCCTCAATCTCGCCGCTTCACCTCGTACTGGATCCTGAAGAACTCCTGGGGGGCCGACTGGGGCGAGGTGGTGAGTGTGACCTACTGGGGAAGGGGACAGGGCAGAACAGGCCTCTCCCCACGTTCTGGCCCAGATGTCCCATAACTTCCTAGGGCTATTTCCGGCTGCACCGAGGGAGCAATACCTGTGGCATCACCAAGTACCCGCTCACTGCCCGCGTAGACCTACCAGTTAAGAAGCACCCAGTCTCCTGCCCTCCCTGAACCCACCCAGCTGTCCCTCAGCTCTTTCCGGCTATGCCAGCTGCCTCCTCACCGGCCCCACACCAAGGCTTTTGCCCATCCTCCCAATCTTCTCAGTACGGCTTGAATAAACCAAGACAACACCCGTGGCTTCCGAGTAGACTCAGCTGCGGTGGGGAGATGGTAGATGGGCAGGGCATAGACACCATTCCCTAACACCATTCCCAGACACTCTTTCCCACCAGCTAGAGGGCGTCTCCAGGATCCAGGGAGGAGTTAGCATAGGTGGAACAACGGGGCAACCAGGAGAGAGGCACAAGGAGACAGCCCCTGAGAAGGACAGTGTGTGGGGGGCAGAGAGTGAGGCAAAGGTCCATGGGAGGTCCAGGAGCCCTGGGGCAGGGGATGGGGACCCAGAGAAGGGAGGAAGGAGAGACTGAGGAGGGAAGAGGCCGCGACCCCCGGAAAGGAGGGAATGAAGGACGAACAGCTGGGCAAGTCCAGAACAGGCCGAGAAGGGCCCCTGCTCTCCTAGGCCCTTCTCGAGCAGCCCCCGCTCTCTGGTCGACAGGGACAGCATTTCCTCCAGGCCCCCCAGTGCCTGTGCTGTCAGCAGTAGAGTGGTCCACCGCTCAGTCTGCCCATCACACTGGTGGGGACCCAGCCCCTTAGCTGGAGAGAGTCCTATGACCAGAAGGGCCTGGACAGACAGTGGTTCCTTTGTGGGTAGGGTCTCAGGGGACCCAGGCTTGGGGACAGTCCGTCAGCCACACCCTGTGGAGTACAGGTGAGATTCTGGAGCCGATTGTGAAACGTCTGGTTGGGATGTCTTTGGGAGCAGACACCAGGGCAAGGATGCCAGTTAGGCAGAGCTGGGTTCAAATCCTGCTCAGCCTCTCACAGTGCCCTGTGCCATGCCTGACACAGAGCAGCCACTCAGCTGACACTTGTTTGCTCCCTTATCTGTGGCTTTGATAGGAGGAAGACAGCGACAACATTGTGAATATGGGATGGCAGTGTTGAGGGCTGGAGAGTGTCCTAACGCTGGAGAGGAGCGATAGAGGTCTTGAATGCCGGAATAGGAAGTCTAGAATATTAGCCTATTGAAGAGGTGAGACAGCCTGAGCTGTGTGTCTGCAAGTTTGGAATTATGGAGAGGGGGCGGCTGGGGTGGGGCGATGCTTTGGGTTGGTGGTCATAGTTGGAGAGGAGGGGTCTGAGAACCCAGGGTTCACATGGTGGCATTTAGTTAGTGGCACATCCCCTTAGCACCTCCCAGATGTCGGACCTGTGCCTGGCACGGAGCCTCACCTGGGGAGGAAACAGTGCAGGAAGGACAGGGACACTGGGCCTGGGGGCATCCGGGAAGTCCTCAGGGAACAGAGGAACAGTGGGCAGGTAGGGCCAAGCCTAGTCCAGGACTGGGCAGAGGGTGCCAGGAGATGACCAGCAGAGGGAGCTGCCCCCCCAGTTCTCTGTTAAGGAAGCCTGCTTCGGCAGTGGAACTTGGCACAGGAAGGCTGCTGTCTGAGGATGGGGGCAGCATCCCTTTCCCGAGTTCTCACCTTGCTTCTGCCCCGTGCTCACATTATGAGCATCCATCACCTGTAAAATGGTAATAATACCAACCCCTCCTCACTGCCCTATGAGAGGGGACTAGTGTTGTTCCCATCTCACAGATGGGGAAACTGAGGCTGTAGGAAGCGGCAGGGCCTGAGAACTGTGCTGCTGTGCTGCTCGCTGCCCTGCAAGTCCCACCATCATCGCCTGCAGATGCCCTGGGGCAGCAGGCATGAGGCCCATGGGGACACCAGGAGGCCAGCTCCTCCAGAGGAGACACGGTAGGATATCACGTGGACAGAATCTGGGGACAGATGCCTCGGTTTGCATCCCGTTTCTATGGGATCTTGGGCAAGCCACTTTGCCCTATTTTCTCACCTGCAAAAGCGAAGGTAATAAAAGTAACTATGTGAGTGTTTGCTCTTGTGATTAGTAAACGTATTTGGCCCCATATAAATAGCACACTGGGAGGGGAAATGCAAGGACTTGAAAAGGAAGTTGTAGAAGAAAACAAGACTTGTGGCATGAATGCAAAATAAAGAGGGAGCAATTGGAAAGGCTCGATGATGGAACTGATTCATTAACCAGGAATCTTTAGAAGATGGCACAGGAGATGAAAATGACCCGCTAAGGCAGGAAAACTACACCCTCAAACATTGTGCCTCTGACAAAGTAGAGTGTTCAAGTCTCGGTGAGGAAAGTAAAACTAATTATGGTTAGCATTAGGGCAATTTTTTTTTCAACCCTGAAGGACAATATTTTCAGTCTTGCCATACGTTAAGCTAACCACATGTTTTTATTTTCTCCAGGAAACTGATGGTTCTTTATTCCCGTTGTAATTTTTTGTTTATTATTAGGAGAGTACTATTCCTCTTCTTTCATGAAAGAGAAACATTTTTCAGTTATTAGATTGATAAGAAGTTGTAAAAATCCTTTGGCTTTGTGTATCCAAATAACATTCTGCCCTCAAACCATTAGAGTCGGCATAAGGAAGGATTTGGGATTTTAGATGCTGCTGGTGGGAATTAATCAGCACAGCCATAGTAAATACTTCACAATGTGTATTAAACACTTGTAAGTGTGTCTCCTTTGCCCTGGTAATTCTGTTTCTAGAAATTTATCCTACATAAACCCTCATTCGAGTACACAAAGATTTATTCAAAGTTGTGAAGTTGTTAGAGCCAGACTGCCTGGATTTGTATGCCAACTCTGCTACTTATGAACTGTATGGCTTTGGGCAAGTTTCTTATTCTCTTTGTGCTTCAGTTTTCTCATCTGTAAAATGGGTGGGATAATAGTACCCACTCCATAGGTGTAGTTGAGTGAATAATGCCCCCCACCCCGATGTCCACCTCCCAATACCTGTTGCCTGTGAACATGTTATCTCACATGGAAGGTAAAAGAGACTCTGCAGACGTGATTAAGTTAAGGATCTTGAGATGGGGAAATTATCCAGGATTATCTGGGTGGGCCTCAGATACTCACAAGGGTCCTCATAAGAGGGAGGCAGGGGGATCACTATGAATAGTAGGAGATGTGATGATGGGAGCAAGAGGTTGGAGTGATGTGAGGAAGGATCATGAGTGAAGGAACACAATGATGTCCAGAAGTCAGAAAAGACAAGGGATTGGGTTCTCCCCTAGAGCCCTTAGCGGGAACACAGCCCCATCCACACCTTCATTTTAGACTTCTGACTTCCAGAACTGTAAGAGAATAAATGTGCGTTGTTTTAAGCCACTGAGTTTGTGGTAATTTCTTTTTTTTTTTTTTTCCTTTTTTTGTCTTTTTTACTGACTGGCAACAGGATCGCAACCCTCGGTGTTGCGCCCGCACCACGCTCAGCCAGTGAGCGGGAACCGGTCTCCACATGGGATCCGAACCCTTGGCGGGAGCGCCGCCGCACTCCCAAGCAGCGCACTCTCCAGTGCACCACCGGGCCAGCCCATGTGGTAATTTCTTACAGCAGCAATAGGAAACTCGTACAATAGGCGTGTTGTGAGGATTCATGAGTTAATATATGTAATTACTTTGAACAGGGTACAGCACATGGTAAGTACTCAGTAGATGCCGGGACTTATGTGGACGCTAGGACTGTGTGCAGTTATGGAAAACTGGAATAATGCAAATGTCCATCAGGAATGGAATGACTCAGAACTCCGTTCATACTATGGAACCACAGCAACGGTTAATAAGAGGCTGCTCTATAGGTTTTTATGTAGTGAGATGACGATGATGGCGATGATGGTATTGCAGCTGTTTTCTGAGTCCTCTCTGTGCATCAGGTACCAAGCTCAGCACACTCCTTGCATTACCTCTTCTGATCCTCATAACACTATGAGGTAGGGAGCTGGATCAGTCTGGGTCCAAGCAGGTGAGAGAAACCACAAAGTAATTTGAACATGGGAAGTTTGATATAAAGGATTATTAACGACAAAAGGAGATTGGGGTAATGGGGGCTTGGTTAGTAAGAAGTAAAGAGAACTCCAAAGATTAGAGGAATAGCAGATACAAGGATCACCCTCCCAACCCTAGGGCTGAGCTACAGCCCCCAGTGAAGATCCTGCTTCTTGCCTCCAGGTCTGAGATCCAGACCTTGTTGGAGGGAATAACAGTGATTCACTGGAGAGCGGAGAAGTTGTGGAAGTGCTATGTTGGCCCCATGGAACTTGCTGGAAAACCATCCTCTAGGATGCTGGGAAAACCTTTTCATGGGTAAGTGTCTCACTAGAGGTGCTCCATTACTCCCAAGGTGGGGGTGGGGTGCTGGGAGAAGCAGCTGCTATTGGGTGCTGCTGGTCACCATGCCCTGCAGGAGCCTGGTGCTGGAGAAGCTGCCCTGGCTGCAGGAGCTGAGCTGGAGAAGCTGGTTCCTGCTGCAGAAGCCAGCTGAGAGGGGCACATCAAAACCAGAAGCAAAACTTTTTCCTCCAGAAATGTCTCTCAGCGCCCTCTACTGGCAAAATTTGACATTGTACCATCTGACGAAAGAAAAATATTTAAAAGGCCCAGATCCATTTTCACAAAGCAGGCCAAAAAGGCAAATTTGGAACTGAGAGTCAATAAATCGATAACTGGCACAGAATCATTAGTTTCATTTTACAGAGGGAGGAAGCAGCTGGCCCACGGTCATTACACAGCCAGTGCTAGGATTTGCTTTGCTTAACAAAGTGTTTAGAAATCAGGTTGCAAAAATTATCTGTTACATCATTGAAGTAGTAATTCCACTAACTGTAAATGTGCACGGACATACTCCCCAGCCTGGAGGAATATGTGCCAAATGCCAGTGGTTCCCTCCAGGGCATGAGGATTACAGGGAGTTCTCTTTGCTGTATTATTGGGTTGAACAGCACAAAATTGCTGTGTTTGTAGGTAAAAAACAGTGAAATGTTGACAATTTCATACAGTTCAACGTAATATTTGTTTCTCTGAGGTGAGGTTTGAAGATTTCCAAAGAGTGTGAATTACATTTATAAACAGAAAAATATATATATACATACACACATACATATATATATACAAACACACATATGTAACACACATATTATATGTATACATATAATTTCATTATGTATACATTATATAAATGTAT